TTCAGTTAAAATCTATATTTCTTATTAGTAGTCAAATTTTCCAAATTTTGAGGTATTTCGCAAATGCGCCGTAATGTACAATGTCGATTGCTAATTTTCGATTGTTTATTGCGCATTACCTCTCTTTGCACTGTTTCAAATCAAGCTGGTCTAAATAATTTAGGACAAAATATGAGCGAGTATATAAAATGCCAGTAGAAATGGTAATGTTTTCCGAAAAATGGCAAGTGAGGGAATAAAGATTCATCCACTTCCATGAGCAAAAGTGATTCCGACTTTTATGATCTTGAGGCGTTTTTGTTAAATTGCCTGCGAAACCAAAATATTACTGTATTACAGGAATAATACGAACCTTAAATTCGATCTTTGTGCCCGTGATGTTGCACGTGTGCTCACAGACGATATGTATATGAACATCTAATCATGTTGTGCATCATAAACAATGTCGAGAAATATAATTAATGAAAAACTTTCTTTTGTATGGGACGTTCCATCTACTGTTGCTTGCACATCCGGTGCATCAACACAAAGCAGAGATGTCACAGAAATTGTTGAAAATGCCCCGAGCTTGCAAAAGGAACAATCAGTATCTAGTGGTAAAGTAAATTTATTATAGGTAATTTTTCGTGGATAAGTCATTAATTGCTGTTCGAAAAAAATAGGTTTCGGGAACCTTCAGTTAGATTTAAAAATCTGGGTAAAGTACGGTGACAGCCAGCCAACTCGGATTCTTTTTGAGGGAGAGATTGTAGACGACTTGAAAGAAGCGGCCAAGAAGAAACTGTCACCCGACTTAGATGATGTGGCCCTTAACCGTATTACTATAAGAAGACATGGTGAAGAAGACGACTTGCGTGCGGATTTAATTGTTGATGAAAGTATTGTAACTACTTACGACACACCTTTACAGATTATTGTAAATGCACCTGGTATGTATTCAAGTTTATTGAATAAGAGTGTTGATTAATAGGCTAAAGTAATTTTGTTTTTGCGATATAAGTGACATTAAAACGTAAACATGAAGAGTCGGAAGATTTAAGCGAGATTGTAAAAAGTGCTGTGAGGGAAGAATTCTCACGACAAAAGCCTGATGAGATGATACAAGCATCAAATCTTTCGGAAACAAAGGCAAGAAAGATAATTGAACGTTATGGATTAAAACATTTTGAAGTAAGTATACGTCTCTTTTCCCGTATTATTGTATTATTAAATTATATTATTATTTATCATATATCAAATATTAGATCTCAGAAGAAGACTTTCAACCTATTGAACCCATACAATGTCAGCCATTCCTATGGGATATGGAAAATGATGAAGCTCACCAAATGTCCGAAGTTGAGGAATGGTTCAAGAACGCATTAAATCTACCAAGAGGTTTTCATGTAAAGGATATTCATACACGAAATTATCAACGACATTTACAAACTGCCAATGTCATTCTAACCGGTGGCACCGATATTTCTGTTGGTCCAAGCGAAACTTCCTGCGTTTGGATTGAAATTAAGAAAAGGAAGGAGAATTTTAAAATTGGTCAAGTTATCGGTGAATTATTAATATTGGATAATATGTACGCTCCAAGACCTATGTCTGTCCTAACTGATTGCAATGACAATTGGATTATTTTCTTTTTTTTGGGGACTGAAAACAAGGAACATTATTTAGCATCATCCACAATTCATGACCGCAGTATTGCTCTGGCAATAATTAAACAGTTCGTACTTAATGAAGGAAGAACTTATCTTGAGGTACTTGGGAAAAGTATTACATATCAAACAAATTTATCCGAACCACTTAAGAAGAGAGCGAAGTTTCTTCAATATATGCCCGAAGAGAATGATGAAAGAATGGCCGACATAATCGATGATATGACGGAAAAGGAATTATATCACATGACAATGCGCAAGAGATTAAAATTAGCGAAAAGTATTGTTAGAATAGAGGAACAACCAATTATAGATCAACTTATTAGACAATTTAGTGACGATTATGAAAATCCAACAACATTAATGTATGTGTAGCATAAATATTTGCTATAGATAATTATTTTATTGTCATGCGAAGTTTTTTATTCTCCAATTGTACTTTCGTTGGCATTCTAGCCTTAAAAAGAAATATAAAGTTATGAGCTTTTTCAAATGTTCTGTGTAGTAACGATCCGTATTTATGAATCTCAATTTGTGTGATCTGCTCGTTAGTATTTTATTTCAAGTGGTTGTGGTGCTTGCAGTAATTCTTTAATCAGTCAATCAAATTTGTCAGCCGATATATTTAATTTTTTTAATAATTATGAATGATCATAAGAAATAGGTCCTTTGATTTTTATTAGTATTGCAAAATTTTTGAATTTGATTCTTGGGTCATAAATTTTGCTAAGAACGAACTTTACTAATTGGTTTTTTATCCGCTTCGTGAAAGTAAATAAAATTGACGAAAAAAAATTATCTTTGTATCATAAACAAGATGTCTGGTGTGATGGAAATGCAGATTATTCACTGCTAAACAGATGAAGCTATTTTAGTGCAATTGAATTGAAGACATTCAAATATTTATTGTACAACATACTCCCAGCGATACCCTCCAGCATGAGCTTGAAGTCCTCGACATACTAGCCCGATATTATTAATTCCAGTAACACGTCGCGCTTCAGCTATAGACGGAAATTCACGAAAAGATCCATTTTTAAAAATCTGCCTGACAACACATTGGCATTGAAGCCCAAGACGTACGGCATGTTGCATATTCTCTTTATGTGTACACCATTCGAGATTTGAAGCTCTGTTATTGGTAGGATCACCATCAATATGATTCACGTATTCTTTACCCTTTTCTTTCGGGCAAAATGCCAATGCAACCAGGCGATGGACACGATATTTTTCTCGAGCGACCCTAAGATATCCTGCATCTAAACATCCTTTTGTGATTAAACCGTTGGGTAGCCGGACTCTCCCTAAGGATGAAACTCTGAATTTTCGGGAATTAATCTCCATTTCTCTCCACTCTTCATTTGAATCTCGTTCTATATAATCCTCATAATACATCCAATGCCATCCTTTAGCAGTATCTAGCCTTCCACTACAACATCGTGAAATATTACTCATTGCTATACTAAGTGTATTTGATGCGAGAGTGATAGAATCCCAAATCTGAACGACATTTCCATCCAAAGACATTTGCACAACTTTTCTGGACCTGCTTTTGCTAGGATTCCGAAATACTATACGTTCGGCATTTTCTTTAGAAGTTACCCATTCCAAATTAACAGCTCGATTGTCATGCTTAATACCGTTGATGTGATTAACATAGGGCTTATTTTCTGGATTAGGAATAAATGCCTGTGCGACTAAAATATGAACCGCAATACTAGTACGAATGCTATTAACATTAAAAATTATTCGTATGTAACCTTTTCTTTTGCAGGCATTTAGCTTAAAAACCTTACCTTTTTTGTTCTTGATGCGTCCAAGATTAGACACTAGTAAATCTGAAGTGGATATTACCGGCAACCAAACTTCCATTACGTATAATATCTGTTATTTATTGTCATACCTACTTTTAAATAGGTAAATCTTTAATAGACAATTGGCAAATCAATCGGTTTTCCGGACACATTATCGTTCCTCGTGTAACTATGTTACTAGAAATATTCTTGGGTATATTTTCATAAAAAATAATAGGCACTTCGTGTCTTTAATCCTCCAGCCTTAAAAAAAAATCAATGTGTTATCTACTTAAGGTCTGGATTCCGTGGAAAATAATATTAACACGCTATTGAGTTTAATACGCTCTCCTATCCTAACCATATACCCCAATTTTTTTTCTAATAGGGGGGTAATGTAAACCACAGAATTAAATTGGTCTGGCCTAAACGATGAGGTTAGAAGGCAGAAAAAGACAGAACGTATCCGGAAAATATATTATTTTTTTGATGCTATAGGTGAAAATAAAATAGATAGAATTAGTTCTTTTAATGCGTCATCTAT